GAGTGTGAGTTGCATCCAAAATGTCTTTGTAACCTTCTGAGTTCATGATCTCATCAATTAACACAAGCTCACTAATACCACTGTAATAAAAACACCCCCAGACTTTGATGTTTACAGTAGCCTGGTTGGCTCCACACAAAGAGTCTACCAGCCGTTTGATGTTGTGCTAATAGTCTTTTTTCTCCGAAACAAATGTAATGTCATGAAACATTTTACGAAGTCACCTGAAGAACTTCATTCAATTCATAAACTTTTTTTAAGATTTAACAATGTTTAAAGTGCTCAATAGGCATGGGCAATATGGCAAAAATATATCTCAATGCATATTTTTTAGGATGCATACTAGTGACAAAGAGAAGTGTGTCAGTGCATGTCCTGCTTGACCCGTCTTTGAGAACAACCTCATAAGACAACCTAATGAATACCTTTGCTTTACTGACTTACTACTGAAACATCTGCATAAATTAGGGCATACTTCATGTCAATGATATGTATATGAGGGCAAACAGGAGCATGTCCATTGCAGATGCATAAACTTGGTCATTCAAGGCAATAAACTTGATTATTGTCTAAATTCTATTATTATTAGTAATGTTTTTCATTTTGCCACTGACCTTTGTGGTTTTTGTTTTTGGCATTTCAAAAAATGTCTCTACAGATGTCGCTGGCATACCAACATGGATTTTTCTTTCTGCATACTGAATGCAATGTTGTGTTGTCAAGGGGTATCAAACCTGTGAAGAAGTCTTTGGGTGTTACACCCCCTTTGATACTTGGCATGAACAGTAATTATAAATCGCTTATTCAATCCTTATTCAAGTGGTCATGTAAACAGGAGTATGCTTACCTGCTATTATTATTATTTAGATTTCTTAGATTGGAGTAAGGCCTAGAATTCTGACGAAGAAATCTGATAAATAGAGCTAGATTTTAGCTCAGTAATTGAGTTTCTCTGTGCATGTATACTCTTACTCTGATTTCTTTCGTTTTCTCAGTCTGTGTATGTGCAAAAATAGACCATGGTACTTGACACAGCACCAGCGAGATGGCAAGAAAACACTTTTGGAGCGACCCTGAAAGAATTTAAATATCCTTCATCTTCTAGATAATGTATATTCATATTTTCTGCTAAAGTGACTGAGTGTTTATCTTACATTTGTCATGTCTTATTCTTTGAGTTTATTGACTGGTTGCAAAGCAGAAATCTGATTACTGACTCATGTAGACCCGCAGATTCCCATAAACTAATTAAAGTGCATCTAAATGTTTTCACTGGATTACTGACACAATCTTATTTTCTGCAGTTATCAGATTATTAAGTGCATGTAAACACACTTAGTTCTGAACTTTATGCCAACAATCTAGATGGTCCTTTACTTCTTTGGCCTAAAGAACACAATTACCAGTATTTCATTAAACAATCTGAAAGGTTAACTCGTCAGACTACAATACATGCTTCCACTGTGCATCAGTCTCTTTCAGACAATCTGCACTCTAGAAAAGTCAGCAGTGTTTCTGGATGTCGATATATGACTTGCACTGTGCATAGAACTGTTTTAATTTAGCTTTGTGGATGCAGGGAGAGATGGTGTTCCTCAGCCCATGTGGCGATCTCCAGCACAGCAACATGTGAATTTTCAATGCAGTGCCATCTGAGGGGTCAAAGGTCATTGGCATTCACTTATGGTTTTCGGCCTTACCCTTTACACAGTGAGATTTCTCTAGATTCCCTGAATCTTTTGATGACATTATGCACCATGGCGGGCAAAATACCTAAAATCCTTACAAGCTCTGGCTCAGGAATGTTATTTTTAAACTAGTGGATTTTTTGCTGATGCATTTTTGGCGTGGTGAGCCTAAACCCATTCTTGCTCAATAAGGACAAGGCCTTTCCCTTTATATCCATGTGTTTATTTTTGAGCATTTCACAATTTTCATAGTCTAAAAGTGCCCTGTCCCAACTTTTTTGGAATGTGATGCAGGCATCAATGTTAGAATGAACATGTATTTACCAAAAACATTTAAGCTGATAAAACATTACACATCTAGATTTGTACTGTTTTCATTCAAATACAGGTCAAAGAAGATTTATAAATCACTGCAATCTGTTTTTATTTGCATTTTATCTACTGTCCCAACCTTTTTGGAATTGGGTTTCAACACTTCAACACTTTTTTCCTTTTTTAAAGTTAACATTTTGGGGATACAAAGTTTTTGCCTGACAGAAATCATAAGCATCTGTTTCCATGACAGTGTGTTTACTGTTTGGGCCTTAACTGGTCAACATCATGTTAAAGTGATGGTGTTTAGTCTCTGTGTATGCATTAGTTAGCCATTACTAGTTAAGACATGACTTACAGATTGGTGGTGCAACAGAATTTAGTAAAAGTTTGAAACTAACAAGTATCAGCTAAGCAGTTAGTGAAGAGCATAAAATAATGCAAAACTGGTGCAACCCTGTCTAAAACAGCATGAACTCCCCTGAAATATCATCACCACAATGGAAAAGCATACTTTCATCTGACTAGGCAACTTTTTTTTTACTCAAAAAAGTCCAGTTTTGATGCCCACTGGAGACGCTCCACTTTCTTTCTTCACTTCAAATGATATGGTCTTTGCCTGTTGCAGCCCATTTGAGACAAAGTCTGATACGTGATGCATTCATAGATGACATTCTACATACGAATGCTCTGCTCAGGTTGGTGTAACCAATAAACTGGTAACTGTAAGAGTATGCAGCCACAAAAGTGTTTGCTCAGGTATATTAAACACCTCAACTGCCAGTCTAGCTTAAAGAGAACTTTTTTCACCTTCTGTAATATTTAAACAAAACGAGGCAGCCTGCCTGATAGAAAGCTACTCCTCTGTTTCTTTGTCCGGCTTAGCCTAATAACATTCCATGAAATGAGTATATAGCCGTTTGCAACTAAAGAATGCTTTTGTTTTTAAGAACGTAAAATATTAAATATCTCTTCAGTTCTCTCTGAAGAATAATACCTTATTTGTTTCACCAAAAACTTTGAATACGGCTTTTTAGCCTGCATTTTTTATATTATCTTTTCAATGCAGTGGCAGGAAAAGACTTAAGATTTTGTGGGTTTGGAAACAAGTACACGCTGTAATGGTCTCTGCATGAGTCTTTTAAAGTCAAATGGAAGTAATTAACCTATTTGTAGGAAGGACATTTTAAATGAGTCATATTACCTACGCCTGGCCAGTTGAAGACCTCACTGTGTTCTGTATTTCGTCAGCACACAAACATCTTGAACAGTAAACTGTTGCTGTGTTGTGTTTGCTTTGGTCCACTGTTGAAAGACACGTAGCTTCGTCCTGCAGCAGACATTATCTGGCAAAGCTGTCAGATACAGGTTTAGCATATTCATGGGCTAAAAAATACCTCCACTTTCATCAACTGTGTAATGTAGGACTTGACAAGTCTGTTTCAATCTGTATCTGAAAACTTGTTCAAATTTTTTTTTTTTTGTAGATCTTTGAAACAATGGACCATGATGTAACCTTTTCTAAATGATAATTGTACCTCTTCTTCAAGCAATCCAGTCACCAGTAGCACCGGTGTCTTGTTTGTTATGTTATTGTCTGTGTTTACGTATTCTTTTTAATGCATGCAGTGCTGTATGGAGAAGCTAGACAGAAATTATGGCTGTTCTCCCTTATTCTTTTCTAGGGTTTCGCAGATTATGGATTATGGCAGTATTACTCTGTCTTCCTGTGTCCCAACCCTGATATAAATTATTACTAGAGCTGTTAGATTTGCAATAATAAATGTATATTGCTCATTCATTGAAATGCCTTGGGCTCCCATTTGTTTCATCAAAACTGGTATTTGCTGACATGTGCTCATTTAAAGCACAGCTGATTTGAGACACGCTGACCTGAGACTGAGACCTTAGTCTTTAGTCAACAGTTATAAAGTAGCAGAGGGCAGGCCTAAAAATACATATTTTAAATGACTTCTAAAGTTGCTCCTCTCAATTACTTTGTTCCCTATCAGTTCAAGCAGCAGTGACAGGCTCTGGGTGATATAGTAGCCTCATCACATAGGCCGCTGGAAGCTTCGGTCCGTGTAAAAACATCCCTTGGGGTCTTTGACCTAGCCTACTGGAGGACCATTATATCATGCTCCACGGCACAAGTTTCTGGTTGTGACCAACTTTGGTCAAGCCGCCCCATGGTGGTCCCGCGTTCCACTTTCCTCTTGTTTTTGTTCTAGGGGGCTGATGTTTCTGTTGTGCTTAGTCGGGCCTCTAGTCACGATACACAGTGCACCTGTTCTGTCCCCCGCATCCCACAAAACACATAAATCACCCTGATGCTGCCCTCACTACTAACATTCTTATAAATGGCTGGGCTCAGCAATACTTAGTAGCTCGAAACAGAAGTGTATTTCTCTCTCTTTAGCTTCCTGTCCACCTCTTTGAGCCATCAAAATAAGCATCTTCCCACATCATTCCTCCACTCACATGCCTTATGAGCCAGAAACTTTTATGCAGACAACAACAGCTTACTATGCTACTTTAACTGGCATATTAATTTTTCCATGTACAAGGAACAAGGAAGTCATGGTTGATGGAAAATCCCATTTGCTTGATCTTGAATCTAGGTTTATTAAAAAAATAAGTTAACAATGCAGGTGCAACAGTTACTGTCGCATGCTTGTCGCCTCTATGCCTCTTTAGTTTTACTGGTCATTCTGCTAAAGGTATGAACCACAAGGGGAAAAATATTTCTGAGCTGAGCAAACACACACTGAATTTGATTAAGTGTTGTCTTTTTGGACACAGATTTAGCTTAGTCTTAATTTTACTCCGTAAACAGATTCTTCACTGAAAAACAGCTTCTCATGGATCAAACTACGAAAATCTTCTGCGCATCCAAGTGGTAGAGAGAACGACTACATTAAGGTAGCAGTCACAGAGATCATTATTAAAGCATTAGAAAACACACCAGCAATATAATGACTGTGTACATGTTTGCATTACCTCCAAGTTCTTTCACATTCAGCACTGCATTTGGGAAAGGCACTGCCTTTATGCTGAAACCTAGGAGAGATAAGAGGACAATATTTAGTTTACAAAACGGATAAAGGAAAGCCCATGTTTGTTTGGATTCCTGCCAGTGTTGGTGTAGAGGACCCAACATCTACAGAAACGAGATCAAGAAAAGCAATATCACACTGACAAAGGAGTACAAACTGTGAGTTCACAGTCAAGAGGAAAAGCAAAGATTTCGTTAGTGATACCACTTCCCGTGTTCATTTCACAACAACACACGCAGAGACAGAGAAGCCCGACATTTGGTATTGATTAATGCAACCCAAAACATATGAGATTGAGCCTCTTAACGTCCTCCTTTGACTTTAAAGATGTGTTTATGCGGCAGGTTTCATCAGACTCACAGCAGGCGACTGTAAATGTGCCATGCAAGACTTCAGTTCAGTCTGGGTCTGTTATCAGAGAGCGGCAAAATAATAAAACCATGTAATTCCATTTCTACTGTTTGTTTTTTTTTTCTTACACAATTAGAATTTTTTACACCATTTGCAAAACATGTGAACCAGAGGTGCATCGAAATTTCAGCCACTGAAACAAATCACTTGAATCAAATGATCAAAAGTGGCATTTTCAGTTTTTAGATGAAAAGAAAAAACAAACAAAAAACTTAACAATTTCAATGATAATTAAAACAGGAAATGGTTATTTAAAAAGCTGTGTTTATTTCCTTCACTCTTCTATGTATGTCAGTCAGCACAGACACATTAACCAGCTTGAACAGTGGGAAATCAACAGTGGGAAATAAGAAATATTTCTTTATTATGAACAGCTATGCAGAATACAGCAAAACCCCAGAGAGGAACATTCAGCTAAAAGGAACGTCCCTGCTAGCATAACAACACTATTTGTAGCCACAGATTTTGAAATGAAGAAAAAATCCAGCAGAATACATTACATTAAAATAACGGAATTCATTCCCTTGGACGACCAACTGCTCTCTGTTGTCAAGATTGTTAGATTTCATGGCACATACTGTAGCCTACATACAGTAATCATTTTATTAAGTTTATTTTATATAAACTGTTTTCAGTTATTGTCTGCTTGTTTTGTATTATTGTTTTGTATTATTAAAATTATATAATATATGTTTAATAAAAGTTTGTTTTCTTTATTACCTTGTTTTTTTATGTTTGGCATGTTTATTCAAAAGCATAAACAAAATATAAATTAAGAAAAAACATACTTTATTTTGAGTTTTTGGTTTGGGTTTTGGCAAAGTGTGTCTTAATTTTTCGTTTAAATTTTTGGTCTAGCAATCATCTGTACAAGCTTTGCTATTCTTTTGATATGTATAGGCAGAAAGCTCTGGCATTTGCCCTTTTACAAAGTGATCTACTATAAAGTGCTGCTAGCTAAAACAAGCTAAACTAACCAAAAGTCATGATAATTTCTGTTAACATACAGTTTTTCTATATTCAGCAACTAAAGCCCTCCTCCATTACAACTGTTACTCAAGGCACGCCTTCCTGTTGATCTAAATGGTTAGCTCAGAAATATGCCAATAATGTAGGCTGGTTGACCGCTACATCAACTCAGAGCACTTACAGTACTCCATGCAAAAGACAGCCATGCTGGGTGCCTCGTGTTTTATGCGTCCTGCATAGGTGTCTGTGCAAAAACTGTGAGGAAAACACACCTTCTGAAGACCCGTTCGCAAAAAAGCATACAGTGTAAACCTACCCAAAGCCTTCCCATAGAAAGATTAACCTAGTGAACCCCTGGCAAAGGTAAATATCTTTCACTGTTCCAGCTTCACAAGGCAGAGCTTAAGTAGAGCTGGACGATACTGGGAAAAAAATCTTGATTTTTCAATTGTTTTAACGATTATGATTTAAATTTTCTTAGTTCTTACATAATGCGATTGAAAATAAGTTTTTTATTAGAATGGACTGTAGATGTGATAAAATAGTAATAAACAGTACCATCTATAATGATCAAACTGCACAAATAATGGTTACTTTTAAATATCCTTTTCAAGGGACTCAAAACTGTGTAAGCACAACAGCATTTGTAAAAAAAAAAAAGGGAAAAACGAGAGGTTAAATTAGCTATTTCCTTTTATGAATAGCAAGCAACTTTCACTTTTAATAATGTGCAAACATAATTTTCTTACATTTCAGTTAAGGAAAAGTGCAAAATATGAAAATCACCATCACATAAAGCAGTTCTTTACAAATTTCTTGAAAGGAACACAAGCCTATCTACTGTTTCAGGCTTGAGACATGCCCTCTGGCAGGTAACAATATAAACATTTTGGGGATACAGTGCTGCCCCGTCTGAATAATGCTATACATGAAAGAGTAGCAGAGAAGTTGGGGAAAGCACTGTTTTAGGCTACCATGACAGACCTCTAGAGCAGTCGTAAAGTAGAACCATGCATGAGTCTAAGGATTCACTACATCAGAGAACACTGGACACTGCAAAGTGTTTGCTTCCTAACATGCCGCTTCCCAGACAACCATACTGGTGAAGTAATAAGCCAAGGGCTCAAAGATGCCTTGGCTTCTTGGAAGCTTAGGAAAGACATACAAGTCTGCATAACTACTGACACACGACTATGATTATCATACGGGACAGCACTAGAAAATGATGCACCTAATGTTAGCTGTCTTTTAGCGGGAGCTTTGAGTGTCGAAGGGCAGCTCATATTTTCATCCCATTGTTTCACACTTTGCTCCCAATCCACCAGGTGTTCGCGTCGCAAGTGCTGGAACAGATTTGTCGTAATGCTGCTTTTGGTTGCAAATGACTTTTGACACAACTTACACATGAATTTGTTCAACACCTGACATTTCAAACTTGTACCAATTCCATATCACTGAAATGATATATCCACCTTTCTTTATTACAAGCTCACTCCTGCTGCCTGCCTCCATCTTGTTTGTTTTTTTTTCTCCGCAGCAAGTAGATCTGTGGGAGGCAGCACTTATTGAGTTAAGATATGTTTTTCCTTCGTACCATACCGAAAATCCAAATAGCGTGAAAACATCCGTTCAGATTAACCGAATTAATTTTTGAAAATTGTCCAGCACTAAGCTTAAGACAGGTGTTCATATACTAGACAAGAAGTAACAATAATTTCAGTTCAGGTGTGTGTGTATGTATATTTTACATACACATGATGCAAGCATGCATAATGAATGACAGTTTCTGCACACAGTCACCAAAAGACTAACTACAACATTTCTCATTAAAAAAGGAAGTAATGTTAAAAAATGGGACAGGCTAAGACGAGACTATGATCCTGTAATACACCAAACTGTTGCCTAAAGAGCTAATGTAATCAACATTTCTTGTCATGAGAAAGAAAGTACATGTGGCAAACAGCAGACCATTCACAACTCGCATGCACACACACCCACACACACTGACACACATACACATAGACAGGGGTCCTTTGCACGTCAAGAGACACTCAAAACCGTAAAGTAAAGCAGTTCTCTTCAATAGGCCACTGAGGTAACTGGGCATTGAAAGGGAGAAGCGATATGAAGCAGCTTTCAGTGCTCCGAGAGGCTGCAGAACACATGGTGACAAAGCTGAGATATTGCAGAGGTTCTGGAGCGCTGGGAAAGTTTGATGAATGCCACAGAAGAAGCTTGAAAAGCTGGCTCAATGCACTACATCCGCAGGGTTCCTCATAATTTCATTGAGATGGTTTGCAGCATTAGTTGTAGCATTTGGTTTAAATTACAAGGCAGAGACATGGGAAAGTTATGCGAGTTGAAGTGAGTTTTTTTAGGGTTTTTTGGAGGTTTCTTTTAGTATTATAAGTTTGTACTGCATTTCAAACATATTACACACATGATTAAAGATAAATGGGTTTGTGGCAAAGATATATATAGATAACTAGATTGCTAATGCCACTTGACTGCCATATCAGTACTCCCTTTCTGTGCTTTAAAATGAATGCTTGTGTATGGACACAAACACAAACACATTCCCAAAACACGGAGTTAGAACAAAAACCTAAGGTTTCAATTTATCGGCTGCAGCAAGACAATTCATGCAATTCATTATTGGTGTAAATTTTGATCTGATCCATTGTTTCATAGGAATAGGCAAAACTATTTCAGGGTTCATACACTTTAACTATTTTCAAAGTCCAGGGCTTTTTAAGATTTATCCAGTACCAAAAAAAATTCTAGGACCAAAGGTTAAGTACTCCAATACTGAAAAATAACATGGACCTAAATAAAAGTTTGCAAAGAATGACAGAGGTGTATAGACCATTAACGTAAGGGTTGAAATAGCTGCTAGAGGATGGTCAATGGAATGCATATATATCCAAACAAATTTTAGTATTTGAATAGCTTACTTCAGGTATCTGAAAAAAGGTGTGTCTAGTTTTGAATTAAAAAGAAATTAATAAACTGTGCATTATCTTGTCATTTTCAATTGAGTTTTGACAGAGCAAGAAACCTAGAACTGCAGTGAATCCATGAATGCACGTAATGATTGCTAATGTTAATGTATATGTTTGAAGTCACAAACTGCTTGTTTATGAAATGTCTGAAATCAAACTGAACATAATTCATATGATATAGTTTAACTTTGGCTTGGCTGATCAGCTCGGCTGATAGCTCAAATAGCAAACAGCCCTATTCAGATGGTATTAGTTTTCCACTGGGAGGTGAGGTAATGCCAGTATACCATAAGATGTCTGGAAGGTTTATTCATGCATGATAAGAAATCTGATATAAACGACAGAGATGGGAGTGGCTACTTGATTTACGCACTGCTTTTTCTCGAGAGAAAACTATAAAATGTTAAAACATTTAATTTAGCGATTATTTCTTTAACCCTAACCATTTACCTTGCTGTCTTTAGAAAATTCAACGCGTCATTAGCATCACCATTAGCTTGGGAATTCATGGCAAACAGTCAACTTCACCTCTTAAAATCAAACTTTTCAAAAAATCTAATTTTTTCTGTAATTTTTACATGTTCTGTGTTGGACGCATGAGACAGGACAATAACGTTATACTGGCTTGATTTTAGCCACAGGGAACACATGTAAACACTTCTTCAAGTGCATCCATATTTAACTGTCACCAACATGTGGAACAGGGAAACATGGGAAAATATAACCTGAAGTTCTTTGTACTGCTCGTTTTATGGAAGGTAAAAGGAGCTGGAATCTTTACTGAAGCGGGAGCGTAAAGTCTGTAAAAATTACTGCCTTAATAGAGCTTAAGAAGCTTAATAACATTGAGAGTAAGGCCTGAAGTTGAAGAAGAACTCACTAAAAACTGTAAAACAAAGTAAGGAATATGTTATTTGTATGTCTTAACAGTTCTAATGTACTCGTTTCAAATGTACTCGTCTATGTACAGCTGCTGTAAGCAGTATTGAATCCAGAATTGAAAGCTTGGTATTGAAATACAGCTGGCGAAAATAAGCATTATTGTAATGACAGCCCACACTGAAGCCACTGCTTCACACTACTGTGTTGGCTATGTATATATATATATATATAAAATATGATTTTTTTTTGCACAGGTATCTATATGTACAGATATGTACACACTGAAGTGCCAAAAATTTCATGGGATAGCAGCTTGTAAATTGATTATGGACTGGCGTTACCTCAGGGGTTGGATTAGGAACACCCACACCTGTATGAGTTGCGAGGTGTTATCTTGTGAGTGAGGCTGAATACTGGCCAATGTGCTAAAGGCAAGACAATGTGAATTATCGAATCTCGAACGAGGCATGATAGTGGGAGCCAGATGGAAAGTGCAGTGGCCACCCACAGGTGCCAAATGATCATGACCTGATGGTAGGGTTTGTGTGTGGTGCGGACCCCATGAAGCCATGGATCACAGTTGTCAACAAAGCACTGTACAGGCTGGTGGTGGTTCCATACTGGTGTGGGGTGTGTTCTCCCTCATGACATGGGTTGGGTCCACTAGTCTGCACAAACGTCACTGACTGGTGATCGATATGTTTCAGTACAGGTTGGTGACCATTTGCAGCCCTGCATGAATTTCATGTTCCCCCTCAGTGATGGGATATTCCAGCAAGATATGCATCATGCCATCAGGCCCAAGTTGACCAGAACTGGCTCAAGGACCATTCTGGAGAGAACCCACAAATGGCATGGCCTGCACATTCATCCAGTATGAGCCCAATCAAGCATTTAAGGGATGGTGTGAAGAGGTCCATTCACACCCAGGATCCTGCATCTACAAATACCACAGAGCTGCAAACAGCTATCCAGATGGCACAACTCAACATTTCTCCAGACATCTTGTGGAATTGATGCCATGTTGAGTTGCCGAACTTCGCTGGTCCTACACAATACTAGTTTCTGTCCCATGATTTTTGGTCCATCAGTGTATAAATGTAAAGTTACCATTTTGGAAATACGAGGTTTGGTTCTGACAGCAGTGATATAATAAAACTAGTTGCAGTATTCTGACTGCTATGACAGATGATTTATAACTTTACCTGTGGTTGGCACAATGCCATCAATGCCTTCGCTGCAGAGCCGAGAAAGCAGAGCGGTTTTACCAGCACCACTGAGTCCAATGCACACCACATCATATTCTGGTCTAGGAGAGGGGGGACCTTTACAGCACAGTGTTCGAAGACACTAAAAAGAAAAAAGACAAAATAAATCAAAAGAAACAATGAACAATGAATGAATTTACCACAATCTGCAATGTTTTGGAACTGAATACTTAACAAATTCATGTTTCTTTACATGATACATATAAAAAGCTTACATAAACTTGCGCTCATAGTGGTCATAGTGGTTATATGTACTCCCAATGTTTTGGCACATTTCACTGTAACTCAGTACACTGAACTCAATACAGATTACAAATTTAGGTTTGGAACTCCTGGTTTACTGCATTGGAGACACAAGTAACTCCCATGCACCCTGATGACAACCATGTACCCTAATGACTGGTAATCGTTTACACAAACTAATGAAGTAATAGACAAAAATGGACTGGCAACACAAAAAACATGCAGAGGTTTGGCATGAAATCAGAACAAGCTTTACCATAGCCACAAGCTAACACACTCTTCCTAGACAATTTTAAAATTTCACTAGATTGAAAGTGAGAGAGAGCACAGAGCAGAAAGACAGCATTATAAGACTGTGTCCTTATGGCAGTAGACCTATTACTGTCTCTGACTACAGGCCTGCTGGGAGACATTAGGAGGCAAATGCAGTGTGAACCGTGAATGGGAGGTTTAAAGCTAGTGTGCAGAGATCAGTATCCAGAACTAAAAAGAGAACTCTTTTATTAGCAGGATAAGACCAGCTTGGGCAAGGCGGGCTTGTTTTGTAGCAAATTAGTCAATTAAATTACAAAATGAAAGTGGCAAAGAGCAAAACACAAATTTGATATCAGTGTATTTGAAAGGTTTAATTCTGAAACACATTAAATGCCATTTTCATGAACCTTTTTCATGATGTATGTGGTTGGGAGTGGGCTTTGTATATACAAGAAATATCACTGCTATATTCTAATAACTAACTTTATTACATGCATAAAAATGTATTTTTTGTGTTATACCGTAGCTGTTATTCTTTTCAGACCTCTTCCTGATACAAACATCTATACTGCATTTTCAATTCTTTATTTATTTACAGCAATAGTTATATTAACAAAACTCAACAAAACTCATTTACTCTGTAACGTGGTTTCATTATTCCACAACTTTCAAGATTTCTGTATAATTAAAACTTTAAAATATGTAAAAAATTTAAATTTTTGTAGAGTTGCATCGATACTAATACTATTTACATATCAGCGCTGATGCTGACACTTGTATGTGGTATTGGTATTGGCGATGTGAATTCCTTTACCTATGACCGGCACTACAAAGAAATTTCTGACGCGTGCATGCGCGCTAGTAGACTTAACAACACGTCGACAATGTGAGTTGACACATAGCAGTAAAAATGCTCATGGCAACATCTGTAATGCTAGTGGAAAGGTAATAGTAGTGGCTATCAGCTGGAATGCTTCCTAAGCTATTGGTTTCACTGATGTGTCACAAATACACCACATAATGCAACATACAAAAAGTGTATTTGTGAAACTTATAACACGCTATCAGGAACCCTTTACCTCAAAGGCTGAGCCATCCTTCTTTCAGTAATCACTCATTTCCCACTGTGTAGTTAGTTTCAGTCTAGGTTAATGTTAGTCCAGTTTGTTACTGAGGCAGCGAAGGAAAGGGAGACATACGGAAGGAATCACCTGTCTTTTGGGGTAATGCTAGCCTTTGGCCTTAGTTTAGCCCTTATCATAACAGCCCGCTAGCGGGGCCTGTGTCCACTGTGTGCCTCAACAAAGCCAAAAAATCTGCAGCTCAACCACAACTTCTGACAGTTTGCTGAACTTTGATGCTCAGAGATGTAGCGTGAGTGAACAAGACACATGCATGAGACAAATGACTTGGGAAATTCGGATGTGAAACAGCATTTAGCACCATTGCTGCCGTGCCAGAGAAGCTGCTGCAAGTATACGTGTACGATCACGGGTTTATCTATGTATTGTTCAGTTCTGTTTTAATAAAATCAATAATAACAATAAATATTTAATTAATTTGTTAAATGAGTCATTGACATGCATTTTTGTGTCCTACAAACTAAATAAAATAGTTTGGCATGCTTTTATCTTTGAAAACTCAAAACCATGTTGCTAAATAAGGCAACTTTAATAGTACTCAATTCACTTCCTCTAACGTGAAGCGGCACATCCAAAAATAAAGACTTTTATTTTTACATGCTTTTACAAAAGAAGGGGCCATAGTATTGCATCATAAAGAAAACCCCAAGTGACCTTCATGGTACAATGCTAAGGTCAGTAGCCCTTTTGTAGCAAATTTTGGAAAAAATGCCATTTTTGAGTCATGGTTAGAATTGGTTCAATTTACCATGTCAGGTGCTATGACCTCGGAAAAACCATGTGAATGTGTAATTATTATAATAATGTTTACTTATTTAAAAAAATGTAAGTATAAACGCAAGCTCAAGGACAAAGGTTTCTACAGGTGTCTAAGTAGGTGCCAGTTTAATTTGAAATTAGTCTGAAATGTCAGGTGGCACAACCAGTCATTCAAATGGTGCAAACAATGCATATAGATGTAAATGCAAATGCATAAATGCAAATATAAAAATGCACATTATGTCCTTTTTAATAACATTTTGTCATTGACCCAAATATGGTTCTTATGGTACTTATTATATGAGAGTAAATACTAATTGCAAAAATATGTTAGTCTTAAGCACCTCAATTTGTTGGACTATAAATATATAATCCATTATATATAAATATTACTTTGATCAAAATAGGTTAGACAGATAAGCTAGTTAGGTTAGGCAGCGGCCAATTCTCAAAGATCAGGTATTGGTATCAGAAGGGGAAAAGTGGTTTTGGTGCATCTCTAATTTATTGTGGTATGTTATTAAATGCACCATTCTAGAGAAACTTGCGGAGCACATATTGTTTACAGAAGTGGTGACAGGAACCAGGCGCTTGATAAATTTAATGCCTGTAAAAGCTTCATCACAAGAAACTATTACATGAATTGATTACAAAAACACTGCTTGACTCCTGAGACACTGTTTTACGATAGTTTTGAGACAAGGTTTTGGTATAAAACATACATTTTTTAAACCTATTCGAGATGTACAGACAGGGTCTTGTAAGGCAAAGTAATACCCTAAGAATTTGTTTTTCAGATTTATCACTGTTTTACCATTATCAACTTTACATTACACATGTTGGTTCACTGGTCATTTTATTTAGTAAATAAAACAGCTTCATTTGTGGTCTGGGCATTGTAAATCCTGGTTTCTATCACCATCACTGCAACAAAAACCTAAGAACTCCAAATTATATACATTTCATCTATTCTTGTAGATGTGATCTTAAGGCAACAAAGCATAAAGACAGATGATGTGTGATTTCCCTTTGGTATTCTTTCACCCCAAAAAGCACTAATCGCTTTCACAGGCCCTCAGAACCCATACGGCACACATGATCAGTCAGTCAGGAGCACATGCTTCCGCTTTGTCACACGCCGACCTGGACATCTGGACAAGTGCCTGGAGGTCCTGTGATATGAGATGCCACTGCCCATTCTCACCCCCCACTAACTCCCCTTCACTTACAGTGCACAAAAGGGGATGATAAATTTACAGCAGACGCTAAAGACACGTCCTGGAACTCTGACCCCTTGGCCACTGAGCCAAGCTAGACTCCTTTGAGACCAGACATTCACAATTCTAGCTGACCACACAGTGACAGAACAGTTTTGCTTAAGAGGGACCTGTCTACTTTTCAAGACATCTCAAAATTCAGTTGCATTGTCCTACTTGAATTGGCCCTCAAATGGTAAGCTTATTATGCCGGTATTAGTCCTAAGACTTTGATCCAGAAACTACTATAAATTGTCTGGTAACTACTACAAAACAAAAATGTAGGTTATATAGTTATAAGCAGGAGGACCTGACAGGTGATATCACATACAAACCCTTACAATTTCAAGGGTTAAAACAAGTATGAGGTTTGAAGAGAGGGTTTCTAAAATATCATGAGAACAGTATCTGTCTTTGCATGAAAAGCACGATTCTTATTAAAATGCTGTTTTAGCATTAAAATGCTGTGTAGCAATGGCCATTTGTAGGATGGTCTATTATCAAATATACCCTCCAAAAGTGTTCACATACACATATATACAGAATAAAAGGGGACAAAGGTTCTTGTGCTCCACATCCTCAAAGAGAAAAGACCAAATTTTTTTTTTGGTGGGTTTATGTAAATGAGAGCATTTGGGTTCATAAATATCCAAAACTGATATCCGCAGTAAAATCGTAGAGCTACATTTTTAGAAAAAAATGCAGCTGTTAAAAGGGTTAAAAGATAACCCCCCACCTGCCCACCTCTCGATTTAAAAAAGTTGTCAAGACATCAAATGGCTGATGTAATTAGGAGACCTGGCTGAGCTCCAGACCCTGGCAGAGAAACAAAGATCTAACAGCACTAGAACCCACAGCGGCAGACGAGAGAACACAGCTGGGCCAAATCCACTCAGCAATGCCACAAGACTGAAGCTTTGGACCTGGCCAAACCAACACAGAACAATGCCCCGCCGCAAAAACAACTCAGCCGCCTGCCAACTTCTCCTGAATGGACCCCTCAGTGGAGTGTGGGGAACCCCGTCTGCCCTTTGCAATTTGAAAAAAAGAGGAGGGGATAGCTGTTTAACTTCTCTCAGGAGAAAAGGAACGCAGCTCGCCCTCCACTGGCTCTGGAGATGAGTGGTCAGCAGTGGCCACGGTGACCACTTTGGGCAGGTTATGGGCATGGAGTAAGTGAGAGGCTTAATCCTCAAGAGACTGAGGAGCTGACTACGACTGCGGGGGGCTGTCCTGCAGACATGAGGCAGCCAGCTATTGCTCATTCAGCCGACCCGTCTGTCAATAAGAAGCTCTATTTTAGAGGACCAGCCTTGTATTTTTAGAGCTAATAAACAAGGGGGCAAGAGAGAGGGAAGCACCGCGCAGACAGACATGGCTCACATTTCACTCGTTTGCCCTCCGAGACTGCGGAAACAGAGCTAAGT